TGTGTGTGTGTGTGTGTGTGTGTGTGTGTGTGTGTGTGTGTGTGTGTATTTAAGTAAGTGTGGGTATAGGATCGAGAGGTAATCCCTGGGTATCATTCCAGTATTCTCAGGTACCATCTACCTTGTTTTCAGACAGAATCTCTTAGTAACTTGGAGATCACTAATTGGGCTACACTGGCCAGTCAGTGAGCCCCAGGGACCTGCATGACTTTCCCTGGATGTAAGAATTATCACTATGCCTAGCTGTTTTTTTTTTTCTTTTCTTTTTTAAAATGTGGATTATGGGAATCAATTTCATAACCTCCTGCTTGAGTAGCAAGCATTTTACCCACTGAGCTATCTCTCTCACCACCAAAAGTAATGATCAGGAATACGGGGCCCCTACTGACTGCTGGTGTGTGTTTCCTGCTTCAGGTAATTTGTTTGTGGTGAGTCTGGCCTTGGCTGACCTGGTGGTAGCCTTGTACCCTTACCCACTGATCCTTGTGGCCATTGTCCATGACGGTTGGGCCCTCGGGGAGGCCCACTGCAAGGCCAGCGCCTTCGTGATGGGCGTGAGTGTCGTTGGCTCTGTCTTCAACATCACAGCCATCGCCATCAACCGCTACTGGTGCATCTGTCACAGTGCAAGCTACCACCGGCTCTGCAGTCACCGACACGCCCCGCTCTACATCAGCCTCGTCTGGCTCCTCACTTTGGTGGCCTTGCTGCCCAATTTCTTTGTGGCGTCTCTAGAGTATGACCCACGCATCTATTCCTGCACCTTTATCCAGACAGCCAGCACCCAGTACACTGCCGCTCTGGTAGCCGTCCACTTCCTCCTTCCAATTGCTGTGGTGGCCTTCTGCTACCTGCGGATCTGGGTACTGGTGCTCCGGGCCCGAAGGAAGGCCAAGGCTGAGAGCAAGCCACGTCTGAGGCCCGGTGACTTGCGCAGTTTCCTAACCATGTTCGCGGTGTTTGTGGTTTTTGCCGTATGCTGGGCCCCCCTCAACTGCATCGGCCTTGCAGTGGCCATCAACCCAGAGGCAGTGGCTCTCCGGGTCCCAGAAGGGCTCTTCGTCATCAGCTACTTCCTAGCTTACCTCAACAGCTGCCTCAATGCCATTGTCTATGGGCTCCTGAACCAGAACTTCCGAAAGGAGTACAAGAGGATTCTCTCACCCCTCTGGAACACGGGGCGCTGCTTCCATGATGCTTCCAAAAGCTGCCTGGCTGAGGAGCTGCGGGGCTCCACGCCGCCTGCTGCCAGGGCTTCCGCGCCCGTCCAGGAGGGTGCTCTCTAGGCTGCACCAACATGCAGACCTGTGAAATGAGATGAGCGGAGTTGCCATCAGTGCTGCGCAACACTCTGTCACACTATATCCCACAACTGGTGAACTCCGTCAGGAAGCCGTGAGCGCAAGCCTGCAGACTCTCCTGGTGACAGATTGAGCGCTGGGTTCCAAAAGGGTGGGGCAGAAGCCAAGCCCTACCCATGAGACGTCATTTTCCCTGCCACCTTGGCCTGCTGCTCATATTACCCCTTCCGTGTAGGGCCAGCGGGAAGAGAGCTCTTTTGATTATCTAGGCTGAAAGAGCAAAATCTGCAGAATTGAAGGTGAGTGACTTTCAGGGTCCCAAGAAAAAGGCAGGTGCGGAGGCTCCTACCCTTCAATTTTTCCTACACATTACAAATGTACCACCCCACACACTGTATACATATACACAACACATATATGCACCAAACATACAGTACACACATACATATGAGACACAAACCAAACATACGCACATGCTGTGTACATAGACACACCAAACACAACCAAATAACGGACACACACATATGTATAAAACAAGCATGAACACCACATGTATACATGCCCCATACATATTAGCCAGACACACACCACACTCATAGACACCAGGCACATACACATAAAACATATGCCACCCACATACACAACACACAATAACACACGTGCACCTCACACTGTTTTCTTCAGACAGTAACTGAGTGTGCTTAGCGAGTGTGGCCCAGCAGGAGGACCACGATGCCTGCCCTCTGGGAGGCCAGTCTGTTGACAAACCAGTATCACCAAAAGTTTGAGGGTGTGTTCTTTGTGCCAGTCCCGGAGGGGCGTGCTTGAGATGCATTATCCTTTCTAATCCTCTCAAAATTCTTGGAATGGACACTACGATGTGATTGTGTGGCAAGAAACTGAAACTCGAAGAACTTAACTGATTGGCTGAGGCCAAAGGGCTGCTAAGTTCAGAGGTAGGCATGAGTGAGGCCTGTCAGCACCTCACTCTGCCCCTGCAGACCTGGGAACAAGCGGCAGAGGTGCACTGAGTTAGGTTAAGTACCTTATGTGCATGCAGTCTGCAGGGAGAGAGGGCATTATCTCAGCTTGGGGCTTCCCCAGAGGCAGACCCAGGGACTGCCAGCTCAGCACTAGTCACAGGTTCTCTTCCCTGCTGTGGGAGAAATCTTACCTGGACATTCCTTTAAAATGTGAATTCCCTGAGACTAACATTAGAGGTCCAGGAGGGGAATCAGTAGGGAGATGGTGGCACCTTTAGTGCCTGAGGGTGGATATTCCCACTTAGGTTACTCCACAGTTCACACCTCAGTCTGACAGAGCCCTCAGAAATGCAAGACTCCTCAGGCTCTGTGCGCTGCCGCTGCTTTTCTAGGCTCTGGGTGGAGGTTGAGGCGGACCTGCCTAGGCTGACGTAGCTCTGCCTCCTTTCTCCAGATACCAAACATGGAGGTTTCCTGTGAGCTCAGCTTTGGAGAATAGGGAGTCATTGCTTGCTTGTCAACAGGGTGGCCCTGCCCCTCCCATCATCCCTGTCTCTTAGTGCTAAATATATGTTCATACTCAGAAAATCTCGACAGAAGGAACACAATCTCCCTTCATTCTTCTCAGTCACTAGTCTTCTGGGTCCTGCCAGGGAAGTCTAATAACCAGCACCTTTCTTGTGTCTTTAGGTTTTCAGGGATGAGCCAGTGCCCCAGAGAACAAAGAAAGAGCATCAGGTGACATGCACACTGCATGGAATGATCTCACGCCACTGGCCCTGAGTGTAAACAGGCAGTCTATCCGAATGGTACAGAGATGACTCACTTTCTGCTTGACAGGTCCTACAGTCTCTGAAAGGTGCTTTCTAGCCATCTTCCTTCTGTGACCTTCCCTGAGATGCCTGCTCTGAGCTCTCTCAGAAACTGTCAGCCTCCAAGGGACCTCAAATTCAGATACAGACTTCTGAATGGGATCATCCAGCAACTTTGGCCACCATGGATCAGGACACACACACACACACACACACACACCTTGTCAGAGACATGTTAAGGACATACAGACCAACAATTTTTCCTTAACAAATTATAGCCAGCCATATGCAAGAAAAGAAAGAAAGAAAAAAAAAAGGATGAACTAAAATTTGAACTGTTTAAATTGTTCAAGGTAGGGAGTGCTTTAAAACAGGACCTCATATGGTCCAAGCTGGCCTTGAATTTGGTATGTAGCTGAGGCTGACCTTGAACTTCTGATCCTCCTGCCTCCTCTACATCCTGAGTGCTGGAATTACAAGCTTGAGTGCTAGGACAGCTCAGAGGAGCAAGTTTTAAAGTGTGCATGTGCTATGGTTAAGTATGGACTCAGTGCTGTAAAACAGAGCACTAAAAAACCTCCATGTGCAAACCTGAAGCCTTTCGCCCACTGAGCATGAGCTGCCTTCTCTCCATGACCCTACTTCCGGCTCTGGGGAGCAATTTCTTTGGAATCCTCTTACACTGGCCCATGCACTAACATGCCCTCTGTGACTGGGCTGTTTCACATGGGATAGTGTCCTCCAGGTTCTTTCATGTTGTTCCTTACGGTGAGATTTTCTTCCTATGTAAGGAGGAGTAACTGACTCTACACTCAGTGAGCTGCCACTGTGACCCAGAAGTTGCAGTTCTGAGTATTCAGCAGGAAGAGCTGGAGTCAAGATCTCACAGACTTACACACACACCCATGGCTGCAGTGGTATTGTTCAAAACAGCCGAGATGTGAAAATGTCTGCTGTATCCAAATATTCTGATACCACTGGGCGCTTAGATGAATTTGGAGTGCTGGCTCCATTCTCAGTGCTTAGGGGAACTGTCATGCTGCATGTCAAAGCGGCTGCATGATTCAAGTCCAGCAAAAGTGCTGTTTCTCCAGTTTCCACATCTCCTTGTAACACTGGCTAGGTGAGTCACTTTTAGCTTCTCCATAATGACCACTACCTAAAAGGTGGGACGTGACCACAACTTCTATTTGAATTTACCTAATGCTTAGTGATTCTGAGCACCTTTTGGGAACCCTGTTACCTTTTTGTACATGTATTCAAGTTCAGCTACAAAATGAACATTTATGCCTCCAACACAGACTCATATATCTCAAAGCCAAACTCTGTGTGACTGGATCCAGAGGAGACTCTGGAAGGAGGGAATAGCGCACAAAGGCGAAGAACCAATGACTAAGATGATCACTGCTATAGATGGAGACCTCTGAGAGCTAGTTGCCTCTTCTGCCTCATGAGCTCAAGTGAAGCAAGTCATCTATGAATAAGAATTGGGTTCTCACAAGATGCCAAACTGCAGTGCCTGGATCGAGGATACCTCAGGTTCTGCCGCGGCGAGAAGCTAACTTCTGTTTTGTGTTTGTTCGTTTGTGGCACAAACAAGTCAAATGAAAGTATTCTCTGTCTCTCTTAAATTTTAGGATGTTTGGGTTTGGTTTGGCTTGAGTTTCATCTGAAATTGTATGGCATACTACTTTTGAGAAGCAAAGAATTTTACACATATGTACATGGATTCTTTAGTGATCAGGGTAACTAGCAAACATAACCATCACCTCAAAGTCTCATTTATTTGTGTTAAGACCATTCTGAACCCTTTATTGTGTGTTGAAACATATGCAACAATTATTATTGCTTATTGTCACCTCATGGTGTGACAGAACACCAGACCTTAGTCCCCTTGCCCATCTGCTGTTCCCATTGATTTACAGACTCCCAGGAGTTTCTTTGCTGTCATACATACCCCTTAAAAGAGGAGTGGTTTACAGAGCTTTTTTCTAATTCCATGGGTTACCTGTTCATTCTGTCTCCTTTGCTCTGGAAAGGATTTTCAATTTGATATCACCCTTCTTATCTATTTTGTTTTTGTTGTTTGTGCTTTTTATATCATATGAGAGAAATGGTTGTTCAGAACAATGACGCTTCCTCACCCCCCCCATACACACACACACACACACACACACACACACACACACACACACACACA